AAATTGCAGTTCGGTTAATGGTGTAATTAATTAGTAGAAAAATTCGGTTAAAAACCAGTTCATGTTTTTTGTTTATAACGGCGAGTACCGGGATCGATGGAATGATAAACTATGTACATACATATATGAATTTAATAACGGTATATAATGACATTTGCATTAAAGGTCATGCATGGAAATATTTCCTAGCCGCATACTGGGCTCACCCATACAATGCGTGCGTTGACTGTAGCATAAAAAATCAAAAAATGTGGCAGCCGGCTAAGTGTCGGGTGAACCACGTTGAGTAGTTGATCATCGGGAGGCGCGACCCAGAGTGCTTTCTATGAAGCTGTGATAACCAATTGAATAATCTACTAATCAGTGAATAGCAGAGCAAGTCAAAGCAAAAACAGCAGGGGGGTGATGATTTTAGAGCACTTTAAGCACAATAGAAATGCGACAGAAAGTTAATGTATTACACACATACATATATGTTATATATTATATTATTTTATGTTGCCCCTAACAAAAAGCAAACACGAATGGAATTTGGCGCATAAACACGGAAGCTGGGCTGAGGCTGTGCTATTGACTCTCTGATCTCTGTACTCGTGCAAAATTTTACAAATAGACATTTAGATCTCTTTATTTATTTGAATATTTATCGCTGCATAACATTTCCAATGATAAATATGCAACAAATATTTGTATTTTTTCGGCATTTCGTGACTCTTAATTAAATTGGTGAAAAACAATTGTTTTCACACGTAAACAAAAAACTTCTTGACGCCATTAGCTCCTTCCACGTGGCAACGCTGCAGTATTGATATCCAACACTTTTCGTTTGAAATGTTCACAGTTTCGTATTTTTGTTAGCAACACAAATCTATTGTTTTTTATGCTGCTCTTATTTTTTTGCACATTTATTTTTAGCCTAATATTATTTTGCGTATTCCTTAGTAATTAGCAGCGACGGAGCGAACGCATCAAGTTCGCTATTTATATAAGACTATGTAAGTACATATTGTAAGCGTTGTTCAAACTGGTATCTATTAACTTAAAGTGTCTCAACTTTGATATCATACAATTAAAAATGTCCACTTCCATCAAAATTCGTAGAAATATTCTGAGGTGGTATATCTCTGCACAAATTGCAGGACATCCTTCCTTCTTCATACCATCAGCAAAAGCTACTATTTTTTTTTTTTGTTTTTGTGTTTGCAAAAAAAAACTTGATACTTTTGAGTTAGTAAGTTTTTAAGGGAGGCGTGCGAAATTTGCATTTGTTAGCAAGTATATTTTGAGATACGTATTATTAACTTATTTACAACTCAAATTTACAAGCAAATTATTATTTTTTTTTTTTGAGAAATATTTTTGCAATACTAAAAACTATGAAGCTTGGACAATGTTACAGGAAAAGAAAATATTCTATTTTAAGTAGGAACTGTTAAATATCAAAATTTTTACTTTAAAATAGTTGCAAAAATGTTATTTCTGTATTTTTTCCGGTTAAGAATAACAGTTAAATTTGGATTTTTTTTCGGTAAAATTTATAACGATTAATTTTTTTTTTTTTTCGATCGAAAAAATGGAATTTTTAATATATTTTATTTATTAATCTAAAAAATTAGAGCAAAAATTAACGGTTACAATATGATCGGAAATATAAAAATCACAAATAACGATCAAACAAGACAGACTTCTTTAATACTTTAAAATTCTAAATACTCATAATCACTTACAATCTATATTATCTGGTTATCTGGTTAAAAATAATTAAGCCGATAACCAGGCAAGCGTGAACAACCACATAGTTTTGAGTTTAGGATTCCCAGGTAGTAGTTAACTTATGCCATAAAATAAAAAACAATTTACTTATATATTTCATGAGAAATAACTTCATACCCAAAAGTAACGATATGAGAAGGTATCGTTACTTTAGATCCGATATTTTTGAGGTGTCGGTACTTTACTTCGATACTACTTCCAAGTAAAAGTAACGAAAAATTCATGGTATCCTTTCATCCCTTAGCGCGGTTTAACCAAACACATCGTCTATATGTATGTACTTACTTACGTACATATATGTATATATGTTTTATTGACTTGATCGCATTACCCTTTATCATTTCATAGTTTGCGCCTGAAAACACGCTATGATTTTGAAAGTTTGACTGCCAACAAATGTAAGCGATCGCTAGCTGATCTTGCATATTTCCACGCATTGGGGAAATTAGTTTAACCACTACTGTAGATGTAGAATATGTATACCAGAAGGAAATTTAAAGTGTGTATCGATCTTAAAGTGTGTATCGATATTAATACGCTAAAATGAATTTTGTCCGAATTCTTCTGGCGATTGTACTGAACTGATTTCAAACCCAAACACTCCGTTTGAAAGGTGTTTTACTGTAGATGAGTAGAATTTTTATGGTTTCAAAATTGGTTGAAAATTGTGGCCAAAATCGTGGTTTTAAAATTTGCGAATTTGTTTATAGTTTTTGTTGCAACCTCTTCAATTTGAGTCGCTTTCGCATTTTTTTTTTTACTTCGTATTTTAAGTTAAATTTTTTAGTAAAGATAAATATAAAGACGAAAATGAAAACAATGAGAAAAACATAAGAATTAAGATAAATGAAAGGGTAACAAATATTTATTGAATTTTTTCGATAGGAACTGAAATAAATTCTGCTATAAGAAGTTTAGTTATCCAAAGTTATGAAGTTATAGAAATTTATCGAGTCATGGAAGTTTAATCTCATCGAAATTTATCGGTTTATCCATGTTTATTGAGTTATAGCAACGTGTAGAATTATTAAAATTAATTAATGTCTATTGAGTTGTCGAAATTATATATGTTGATCGTGCTACCAGAGAAATTGGTCGATAGCTTTGGAAAAATATGTAGCTATCAAAAATTACCGAGTTATCGAAATTTATATATAATAAAATAATAAATATAATAATCATACCGTAGCTTCGTGTTTGGTTTGCAGCGTTTCAACGATTGAGTAGGGGTTAGCGTTCAAAATCACTTGGTATCACAAACGAGTGAGTCTCAAAATGAGGACGACACCCAAAATTTATATCCTATCCTATATCGAACATGTAATAAAAAACAACAACGATAATTCTTTTGTTTACGCATCACGTTCGCCTTGCATTTGCTCAAACGTTTTTTATTCAACTTTTCCAGCCTTTTGCATTGTTTTTTTTTCTGTATAATTTGGTAGTAAATATAATGCCTTCTTTTTTCGCCTTTTGCTTTGTTTTGTTTTTTGTTTTTTTTTTTTTTTGTATAGTAATATGTATGTACATATGTATAGTAAATTTTGTTGTTATATTTTTTAAAAATATTTTCATTTTACATAATATTAAAAATATATAATTTATAATACACTTTCGAAAAATTTCTACTTATTTATTACCGACTTTCCGGCAAACAATATCGCAATATGCAATATTTATTGTCTCTTGAAAAGGGAAATATTTAAGCAAAGGTGGAGTTTTAGTTAAATATTTGGCTTTTGAAAATGAAAAATTCTTTTTGCTGCCTACATAATTTCTTTATTTATAAATTATTTTCTGAAAAATTTGTATTGGACAATGATTTTCTTATGGACAATAACAACTCTTTAGCATCGGCACCTTTTTCAAAAGCTCTTTTATTAATACAGCATCAGCAACGCTTACTTGAAAAAGGTTTTTTTTTGCTGTTGAATAACTTCTTTTGAACAATTATATGTATTTTGTAATGCCAGTGTTGCCTTCGTGCGTTTAAGCTGGCAGTCAGCTATTTGTCTAAATTTCTTGTTTCTAATTTATATGTATGTGTGTATCTATGTATGTACGTATGTAAATGTAAAGTGTAAATTCGTTTCATGCATAAAAAGTTTAATTTTTGTTGAGCATTTCTTTTCTTTCAAGTGTTTGAAATTCGTTTTGGAATGCCACCAAAAGTGGGCGCCTAAATGTAGGCAATGCAAAATCCATAATTGATGGCGTTGAGTGTTCCATATTATTTCCTTATTAATTTTAATGCTTTACCAATGCCTACTTTTAGGCTGCCTCTTTCGGAGGTACTACAAAAACATGCTAAGTTTCAAAATTCGAAAATATAACTCAATGACTTTTTTGCTTTTAAATTTTTCGTTATTTACCACAGCTCTTTTGTTTCTTTGACAAATTTTTGTATATGACAGATATTGTCTCTTAGCTTAAACATCAATTCCATGCTGTTTTATTTTTCTAATTATGTTTCCTGCCTTTGTTATTTTTTTTTTTTTTAATAAAAAATTCTCAATATTTTTTGGTCTTAGATCTTAAGCTTAGATTACTATAATATGGTTTCAAATTGCTCTAATTACTAAAACTAATTTCGAAAAAAAATATATTTTGTAAAGTTATTGGCATATATACACTAAAAAAAATAGCGAAATAATGGAAATCGTTTGCCTTTTTTGAAGAAACTATAGGAAATGTATTTGGAAACATTTAACGTTTTTTTTTTTTTGTATGTAATTAGATAAATAATTATGGCTAAGTGCAAGTAGACAGTGATTCAAGCTGGCGTTCACATGTTTTTTTTTTTAATATTCACAAGGTATTTCGAGCTAAAAAAAGAAATAACCAAAACGTTTTTAACTTTACTTATACGGATTAAAAAGCTCGAAATTTCAATGAAATTTGTTTTTAATTTTCTAACTTTTTTATAAAGTTTGAAAGTTTTTTTTATATTTTTGTATTTTTTTTGCCAATATTTTTATGAGAAGTTACAAGAATTCAACTAGAAAAACATTGTGAATATTTATTTAAAAAACGCCTTGTGAATGCTTGTTTGAGTCACTGTAAATATCTATGCAGTACGTAGTTAGGTCTCGAAAATTTTAAAATTTTAAATTTCCTCAACATTTGTGCATATTTTAACTAAGAAGTCCTATGAAAAAAAAATATTTCTATAAAAAATCAAATAATATTTTAATAAATTCTTGCGCCACAAATATACATAAATACAAGCGAATTGTCTTAAAACTGCAATGAAAGAATGAACGACAGGCAAGTGGCTGTAATGGCATGACATATAATTGTTTAATTGACGACTGTTATCTACTGATTAATCGACTATCGGGCGTTTAGTCGACTAACTGACATTGAAGTAAATCGATAACGAGCACTTAATAATTTACATAATTTCCAACATTTAAAAATTGAGCAACTTATTAAGCTTGAAATCACTAATTGTCAATTGAAAGAGAATTTATCGATTAAATTTTAATTGGAAAGCTATCGATTTTTAAGCGATTAAACATCACTACATCTATTGACTACTAAATAACTCACTTTTGCTTTAGCTTACATTAACGTATACTAAAAAAAAAAATACAAATAAAACGACTATCACTAATTGCGCATATGACTTTTAAATACAATTAAAGCTGTGTTTTTTTTGACACAATTACTACATTTTAATTAAATATTAATTAGTTTGTTGTAACTTAATTTTAGTAGAAAAATTAAATTATTTGCTTCTGGAAGCGGTAATCCCGGCAGACATTTGTATTGCAAGCGGCTACTTTGTTGCTATTTACACAAAAATCGATAACCGCTTACAAATCGATTAATACTCGCTTTTCGCCAGCTTTCAAATTTTTCGCCAAACAACCCTTAATTCAAGCCTACAGCCGATAGATGCATCTCATCCATTTCCCACTCAATCTTTGTACGACACTCTCACAATCCGCCTTCGCCAATATCAGCAAAGCGAATCAACCGATAATTGATCTTGTTTTATCGATAATCGTCGACCACTCGATGGTGTCTTTTTCATACTTGTAGTACTACCGCCATTACCATTGCTTTTATCGTGCATACTACTATTATTATTATTGTTATTGATGTTGTTGTTGTTGTTCGCGTTGGTAATCGCCATTGCGGGCGAGAGTGTATTTGGCGTTGTGGCATTTATGCTGAGATTATTGGTGCTGCTGCTGCTACTGCTGCCGGAATTAGTTTTCTCATTAATACTATGTAGATTTGTGGAGAGTGCCAACGAGGGCAATTGTATCGCCGAACCGCCCACGGTGAATGATGGTGGCACATAATGATAGCTGCCATTGTTGCTGGTGCTGCCGCCACCGCCATTGAGCGGTTCCAATTCCTCGGCTAGCACTCCATTTGGGATGGAATTGTTGCATGTATGCAAACGTGAGTCCAGCGACTCATCGCTATTCGGATCTAGTCGATCCACGGAAATGGTGGATGGTATATGCATAAGACCGGCGGAGAAGGCGCGTTCTGTAAGTGCAAAAGAGTAGGTGAGAGTTGGTTTATTTGAAGATTTAAATAATTCTTATCTATTACATAGGATAAAGGAAAGTCGAGATTCTTTGTACGCGCTAATCTCTAAAACTACTGAATGGATTTAGAAGAGATTTTCTCTAATATATTCTATATCGATAGGAGACTGGCCTTTTGTGTTTAGAATTTCTATGGGGTTGCACAGAGGTATTATTTTTAGTACTTAGAATTTCGATTGGGTTGCCACCTGTCTAAACAATTATAAGATCCGCTCGATGCATTACAAAAACATGTTCAGTAATGTATTATTTTTAGAGTAGGGTTGCCACCTTTTTCAAAATTATAAGATCTTCACTGTTCGTTAGACTAAAAAGATAGATACCAAGTGAAAGGATATGGTCTCCGGATGTGCAGTGAGCTTTTATTTATTTTTGAGTGGGGTTGCCACCTATTTAAAAATTTGTAACTTACATACATAATGTTATATGTGAGGACATTTTTTGTTAGCTGGATATATCAGATTTGGAGAGTACAGATTTTAAAAAATTAGGTCTGAAAAAAAGGGCTTGGCCTTCAGATGTGCAATAAGGTTTTTTTTTTCCAAGAGGGTTACCAACTTTGCGGAAAATTATAAGGTGTTTGCTGTTCGTTGGAATATGAAAAATCAGGTGTCAAATGAAAGAGTTTGACCTCTAGGTGTTCAGTGGGTTTGATATTTTTTGAACAGGGTGTTCTTTTTGTTTCGTGAAAACACTCCTGGAGGTTTTGTTCTGATTTTGGTATGGATTTTTGAGCGTTCGAGAACGACATTTCGACAGTTTCGATCATAACTTTTGTTCTCGGTCCCTGGTTCTGGCCTGTGATGTTTCATCAGATTTTATGACGAGTCACCGTTAGAAAGTATTCCATAAAATAAAATTGTCCCATGATGATACATTTCACCCCGCGCCCTTTGTGGTACAAGAAGACTTTAAGGCATATATTTAGATTGTAAATTTAGTAAGGGCTTAGCAGTGACTTTGTTCTATTGAAGTGGACCGAGCACTACGAAACTCTACCAAACACGACCTCAAACAGTAGATGGTCTCGCAATAAAAAAAATTTGCAAAATAAAGTATTCAGGTTAATATTCTGGCCCAAGCTAGCATCAAATTTTTAATATACCTGCCTGTTTTTTTATTTTTATTTTTTTGAATAACTCACCTAATCCCAACTTGGAGTTTTTCGCATACTCCGCCTTCACATCATCCAATTGTTTGGCACTACACAGTGGCGTGTCCACGTCATAGGTGTTATTGAAGAGCGTATAGTCCACTTCATACTCGCCAGTCTCCTTGCGAAAAGAGACCACGTTCACAAAACGATGACCCCAAAGGATTTCCGAAGGCAGGTAACTGCTGCGCGCTTGCGTCGTCATGCCAGTGGACTCAACCACACCCTCTTCAAGGCAAATAAAATAATTAGAATATTAAAAATCTGAAACTATATTTGACAATTATGTAGCGCACTTACCCAGCATGCAAACAACTTCAAAGCGTTCCTTCAGCATATCCGATGCCGAAAGCATATACAGCGGACTATTTCGATCGATTTTGTGCACAATCGTTGTAGGCCATATGAACATTAGGCGATCCTCGCCGCCATCAGCGCCCACCGTTAACTCCTGCTGATAGAATGGCAATATTTCACCCTCTTTTGTGACCTGAGAAAAAAACATGCAAACATAATTTCCAATAATCAGTAATAATTCCTCAGAGTATTTTAAGCCTAAAAAAAATTAGCCGCACGGTCACTCACCTTCTTCCTGATGATTTGCGCCCGCACATGCGCCTCAATAATGTGACTCTTTCGCATATCACCCACCCGGAACATCAGACATGGCACCCCATCCCGATGACAAATCACAGCATTTCGCGAGAAGAGCAACGTTTGTGCGCGTTTCTTTGGACGCGACAATTTGGCAAATACAATGCCCACCATAAATGCTTGTATGAATACGCCCAAAATACATTGCAAACACATAATGAATATCGCCTCTGGACACTCCTCCGTCACATAACGATTGCCATAGCCTATCGTTGTTTGCGTTTCCACCGAGTATAGGAAGGCTGAAACAAAGCTACGCACCTCCGTTACACACATACGATGTGTGACATTCTCATTACGTTCGGGAAAGAAATCACGATTGTAAATATATTCGAAATCGCCATGCGCATACGCGATCACCCACCAAACGAATGCAAAGAGCGCCCACGAAATGAGGAAACTGAGCGCAAAAACAAGCATTGTCCAACGCCATTGGGCATCGACCAGGGTGGTGAAGATGTCCTAGAAGAGGAGAATGCGGAAAAGGAAACAATTATTTATAAACAATTTCTAAGTATGTAGTTTGGCTANCTTGCGTCGTCATGCCAGTGGACTCAACCACACCCTCTTCAAGGCAAATAAAATAATTAGAATATTAAAAATCTGAAACTATATTTGACAATTATGTAGCGCACTTACCCAGCATGCAAACAACTTCAAAGCGTTCCTTCAGCATATCCGATGCCGAAAGCATATACAGCGGACTATTTCGATCGATTTTGTGCACAATCGTTGTAGGCCATATGAACATTAGGCGATCCTCGCCGCCATCAGCGCCCACCGTTAACTCCTGCTGATAGAATGGCAATATTTCACCCTCTTTTGTGACCTGAGAAAAAAACACGCAAACATAATTTCCAATAATCAGTAATAATTCCTCAGAGTATTTTAAGCCTAAAAAAAAATAACCGCACGGTCACTCACCTTCTTCCTGATGATTTGCGCCCGCACATGCGCCTCAATAATGTGACTCTTTCGCATATCACCCACCCGGAACATCAGACATGGCACCCCATCCCGATGACAAATCACAGCATTTCGCGAGAAGAGCAACGTTTGTGCGCGTTTCTTTGGACGCGACAATTTGGCAAATACAATGCCCACCATAAATGCTTGTATGAATACGCCCAAAATACATTGCAAACACATAATGAATATCGCCTCTGGACACTCCTCCGTCACATAACGATTGCCATAGCCTATCGTTGTTTGCGTTTCCACCGAGTATAGGAAGGCTGAAACAAAGCTACGCACCTCCGTTACACACATACGATGTGTGACATTCTCATTACGTTCGGGAAAGAAATCACGATTGTAAATATATTCGAAATCGCCATGCGCATACGCGATCACCCACCAAACGAATGCAAAGAGCGCCCACGAAATGAGGAAACTGAGCGCAAAAACAAGCATTGTCCAACGCCATTGTGCATCGACCAGAGTGGTGAAGATGTCCTAGAAGAGGAGAATGCGGAAAAGGAAACAATTATTTATAAACAATTTCTAAGTTGTTTGGCTTTTTTAAGTAATTTTATAAATACTCATAAGAATCAACCATAAAACAAATGCCAGATAGTTACATTGAAATTGATTGTGGTTGATTACTGAAAGAGTTTGACAGTTTTAAAAACCTGGTCAAAAGTCAAAACAAAAAAGTATACTCATGAAAACTTAACTACTCAATGATTATATTAAAGCTTGACATAGATTTCGAAACTGGACTTAATTTTTGCTCATTTTGGTGGCCTTTTTAAATTATTTGGTGATACCTTTATTGGGCAATAAACAATTTTTTTTAATATTTTTCTGGATTAAATAAAATACTTATTTAGCAAAAGTTTAATGATTTTTGGCGAGCTTTAATTTNTTTTAAGTAATTTTATAAATACTCATAAGAATCAACCATAAAACAAATGCCAGATAGTTACATTGAAATTGATTGTGGTTGATTACTGAAAGAGTTTGACAGTTTTAAAAACCTGGTCAAAAGTCAAAACAAAAAAGTATACTCATGAAAACTTAACTACTCAATAATTATATTAAAGCTTGACATAGATTTCGAAACTGGACTTAATTTTTGCTCATTTTGGTGGCCTTTTTAAATTATTCGGTGATACCTTTATTGGGCAATAAACAATTTTTTTTAATATTTTTCTGGATTAAATAAAATACTTATTTAGCAAAAGTTTAATGATTTTTGGCGAGCTTTAATTTACTGGCATTAGGTTGATACGTTAAGGTGGTAGGAACTGAGATCTGGTTGGTAAGTACTAGAACCGTTTATTTGAGGTCAATGATCTTTGGAACAAAAAAAATGTTTCCTCGAGAAAAGAGCACTGATATATCAGTCCCTAAGATCCGACTGTAAGTGACGAAGATATGAGGAAAAATTAAAAAGCGCCTCCTACGTTCGGCTAAGAAAATCGCCTTCGAATCGAAATACTTTCTTAGCAAAAGTTTAATGATTTTTTCTGAGGTTTAATTCACTGACATTAGGGTGGTTAGAATTAAGATCTAGTGGGTAAGTACTGAAACGTGGTACCCGAGGTCAATTGGTTTTGAAATGAAATTATCATCTCCAGACAAGAACATCCATATATATCACACTTGGCGGATCTTGCCTGCAAATGCCAAAGATATGACGAGAAGTGTAAAAAAACGACCCCTGCGTTTGGTCAAAAAATACCTTCTTCTTTTTTCAAAATTACGGTGCAAAAATAATTTCGATTTGGAGGTGCACGACGAACTTTTTTTTCTATTACGGTCTACTGAACATGCATTCATTAAAAAATCGGCCATAATTTTTGCTCATTAAAAAGCGGATATGAATTTTTGGCAATTTAGGAAATGAGTTTAAATTTTGGCTCATTAAAGCCTCGACATAAATATTTTGGCATTTAAAATGCGGACTTAAATGTTTGGTTATTTTAAAACTGGACATAAAATTTTAATAACTTCAAGTGTGAACATAAATATTTGGTCATTTTAAAACTGGACATAAATTTTTTATTAATTAAGAACTGGACATAAATCTTTGCAAGTCAATAAAAAGAACATAAGTTCCTGGTCGTTCAACAACTGGACATAAATTTTTGGTTACATAAAGTTTTGGTCAGTTAAATATTAACATTTTTGATCATTTATGAACCGGGAATAATTTTTGAGTAACTTTGAAGTTGGACATAAACATTTGGTGATATATGTAAAAATTGGGTATACATACATTTTTGGTCATTTAAAAAGTGGACATAGAACTAACTTTCCGAACTGAATATACATTTTTCATAACGTTTACATTTTTGGTAATTTCCAAACTGGACATAATGTTTTCGTCATTTAAAAATTTTACATTCTTTATCTTTCAAGAATCGTGAATAATTTTTGAGTTAAATAAGAACACTTTTCGCCATTAAAAATCTGGACATAAGTTTGTGGTCATTTAAAAACTGGACATAAAGGAGACCATTTCTTTTCTCTTTAAACTTAATGGCGACGGTTTGCATTTCCTCTTTAGAAAACCATACAATTTTGACAGTTTCATGGGTCTAAAGGTTGTTTCAGCATCCCAGATTGGTTTGAGCTTTAACAAACTGTTCAAAGTTGGCCACTGTTATATCTACTTTGTCTGTTCTCGGATCGTCTTGGGTGCTCTTATCTAACCATGTCGATTTTTCAGCTTTTCAATTAACCTGCCGACGACCAGCAACCCAAATACTATACTGTTTGAATCTTTATCAATTATATTTTATTAATTTTATTGAATACAATTTTTTAAACAGGTAGCACCCCTCCACAAAAATATTTTTGGCAATAAACTTTCCCATACCTCTTCCGTTTGATACCCATATTGCAATTAAAATTTTTAAACAGGTGACAACCTTCAACACAAAAATCATCTGTAAGCCTTCTTAAACCTCTTTCTTTTGACGGCCATATTCCAGTATTTACTTTATCTTATCAATTTACTTAAACTGCAATTTTAAAATAGGTGGCAACTCTCTATTTTTTTCTTTCTGTATTTTAAGTTAGACTTCTCGCAATACGTCAGTGAAAACTGCATTTAATTTTATCTATTATGCTGCCCTTACAAACATACAGACACACATACAGAGAGACAAAAATTCTAAAAATGTTTGATTCGGCTTCTGATGCTCTAATAAGAATCCCTCGCCCCATATTAATTTTTCTTTAATATATATAATGTATAGGCATCGGCCTGAATAATCCTTTCAGCAAAATTTCAAACAATTATGCATTTTAAAATACTGTCTTTAACAGTTAAGCTAATAAAATAAACCTTCGGCACTCGAAATATTTATGTATACGGGTATGTATACTAAAGCCGACTACCAGCGGCAGCGCAACAAGTGACGCATTTGCAAAAATGGCACGCATGTCCTTGTTACATACATACATGCATACATACACATATGCACTATGCTGCCAATGCAGATGTGCAGCAAATAATAAACTTGTTATATTTGGAAAGTACTATAACACACACTGAATGCCATTTAAATTTAATTCTATACACGTAACACACAATTTACTTACATAACATTTTGCGAGTGCGTATGAAAAGCACAACAGCTGAGATGAAAATAAAAGCAAATAAACGCAATGCAAAAGTACGAAAACGTGAAGCAAAATGAGGCTAAAGCTATAAAGAGATTAGCAGCAGCAATATGTACAAGCAACTGGCTGCAATTGCAAATGAAATCGAAGGTAGCTAAGAGATGAAGCAGCAACACAGCAGCCACAGTGGCAACAGCG